GGAAATTTCCACAGTCAGCAAATTTTTTATAGGTATGAGGTGGCATAACAATTCTTGATGTGTATTGTACACTTATACAGTTATTATACACTTATACACTCATCAGTTATTTCATTTGTTTAATAAAATCATTAGAAAATAGGACTCCTAAAACATATATATTTCCCCATTCTATTTATTTTATAGGTAGTTATATAATATATTATAGACTGTATATTCTAAAAACTGAAATTTTTTCAATTTTTTAATTACATTGGCTATGCAATGGCTATAAAAATAAATACATTTTCAACAGTGTGATTTCTATCTATCATTTGAATTATTTTGCGACATGCTTAAGAGTACTTTCTACTTACTATAATAAAGGGCATCACTATAAAATTTGCTCTCGGCCGTCAATATTGATTTTATAATACTACACTGGGACTGGGAATTTAATTATATATATATAGATTCACCGTATAAAAATATCTGCAGCAAACATATACAGGGTGTCCCGTGACGATTTACTCATTGCGATATCTCCTGAAATAATAGAGATATCGTAATTCTGTTTTCTTATTAAGACTCACAGAGGTAAGCACTACAAATAACTAATTTTTTATTTTTTTTTTTATGTTTTGGTAAAAAGTTAAAAAAATTATTTTTTTAATTAATTATTTAAAAAAATATTGAAAATTGCCATTTTGTAGAGTTCATTTTTCTGAAAATATTGACGTTTCAACATTTTGATTTCATTAATTTCCTGATTTTTAATAATTTTTTTAATTAATAAGTAAAACGGCAAAAAACCGGTTTTTGTCCGGGCGGCGAGTCCCCCTCTACGGCTAATAGGTAAATCCTCACGGGACACCTTGTACATATATATATATATATATTAAGGCGTAATAAGTAATATATGTTATGTTTATTATAGTAATAATAATAACATAATATGCACATAACAATAATTGCGAGTTGTGACACACATATAATATATCATATTGGCCTTAAGTACATCGTATTATTATCAAATAATATACCTGCACCGTGGCTGAGGGTGAAATCGGTTCAAGGAGAATCCACGCCGAACCATCATCGGCTACGACGCCTATAATAAATAATAGTATAATTTATTGTAATATTATCATAATATATGAGGTACGATCGTTGTATATTGTTGGCAGCATCTCGATGTCAGTATAATCGATGATTACGTAAAACCGCGAAAAAATAATAACTTGGAGAAGAATAACATATATAATAATATTATTATAATATGCGTGTCACAAAGATTACCTATGTGGCTCGTTCGTCGGCAGCACAAGGCGCAACATACTGGCAACATTATGTTAGAAGCGATAAGTGATAATACATAATATATTATAATCATATGTAATAGCGCGTATACAATGCATTGCGTGTCACGCCATTTGAAATGATTAATGGACTCAATGCCGTGGCTGCAGGGCATGACAATGGCGAATAGCATATAATATTATAGACAATACGCTGCAATATTACGCCTAAGTATTAGTATGTCATATTACTATAACTATTAGCTATAATATACAGGGTGTATCAACACTCACCGACCCGTGGCGTTTGTACCCGCGGCCAATCATTTTTTTCGAGAGCCTGCCCAAAATATTATTATGGGTAAGTGCCCATACTTAATACATTGCATGAGGTTTTTGGTTCATGATTTGGAAGCTCAACTATATTATATTGTATAAATTATAAAAACAATATTCTTCGAAGTACAGGTGTTCAAAAAAGTTGTGCAAGTTGGTGATATGAGTAGCTTTCTATATATGCACACCACCCCAAAGCCTTGCAGCTCGTGTATGACAGCGGTGCATTAATAGGTACATAATATGTAAATATTTAGGTACACGATGTGACACAATTATAAAACCTAATGATTTGTAAGTCTCACGAATATATTTTCATAATACCTTCCAGCATGGCACAGACGTAATTTACCCGTCGATCATAAATTATTAGGTAAGTAACCACGCACTGTATATTGCATATTAAGGATATGGTATTATATATATATATAAAGCTACATGCATGCATTACGTTATGATTGATGAATGATATATAGAATTTAAAAAAGAAGGTATTTCAATTTTCAAAGCCATGTCATTTATTTACTTGGTTTGTTTAACCATTCTGCATAAAAATGTCAACAATATTAATTAAGATGAAACGTAAAGACTTTAACGCCCATGATGTTAATATATTATATGGTTGAGGCAGTGGCGGATATATCCAAGTTCTGAGGGGGGGGGGGGTGAAATTTCAAATCCACATAGATAATGATGTTTAACCCCCCTCCCCATTGTTTTATTTTGAAATATTTAACTATAATCGGTACAAAAATATAAATAACAACACTTTTTTTCAATATAAATATTTATTTAAAATTTGAAAAATAAAATATTTAATCGTGCTATCAAACAGAGTGATAGCACTACCCCTCTATGGGGCATCAGGCACTTGTCCCAAAATTTTATGGAGAAAAAAAATATTCTACAACTGAAAAATCAATTAGCAGATAACACCAAGTACCAATATAATTAATATTTAAATATTTATAATCAATGGTTGTAGCCAATATTGTAATAATGCATAGTGGTGGCAAAAAGCCTAAGGGGGGGCGGTCCACCAATTACCCACCCCCGATATCCGCCACTGGGTTGAGGTAGGTATTGTCGTCTATAATTAACTCACAAAATAGATATCAGAAATATTTGGCCAACTTAAAAATCAAATCAAATATAATACTAAATACATCTATACATTTGCCATATTATATGATTATTATTCACTAAACAATTCATTATACTTATAAATTATAATATATAGATATGATATTAGTTTTTTACATTTTTTTTATTGATTTAATTAAACAGAGTTTATATATAAGTAATATAATATACAAGATAAATATAAGATATTATTTAATTATAGTCACTTTAGTTGTACATACAATATTTAAAGGAAGTTTAAGGTAAATTAAATAAGAAATATGGGAAAACTATTTGTTGAATAAGATTTTGACGATTTCGCCGATTTTGCCGATTTTGCCGATTTTGCCGATTTTATAATTAATATTTAATAACACTTACAGAATACATATATAGTTTAGTACTTTGATAATAATTAACAAGTAGTGTAACATAATTACATAAGCCTAACTTAATAACTAAGAAGTGACAAAGATTACAAATATAGTATAAGTTAGGTACTCATCGATAATTGGTTTATATTAAGAGGTTTATCAATGAGAATAAAGGAAAAATTTGAATTACTTAAAGAAAGTTACAGAAAATCTGAAAATGTGTGAAATAATTTAAACTTAATTTAAAAATCAGTTATCATCTACTTTTGAGATATTGTTGTCCATAAATAACAATCTGTTCCAAAGTGATAATATCCTTGAAAATTGTATCACATTTTTCCTGATCCATTTCTGACTTCTTAAATAATTTACATTTGGCACAACACTGTCAAACAAGGATTGATATTATTGGAACCGCTGCCTCATTTTCCTTATCAGGACGATTGGAGTCATCGCGCTAAAAAGCCGTAGATCATAATAGTTCATAATTGTAGGGATTTCTCGTTAGAAATCACTCAGCAGTGGCGATACCATCGTTGAAATGAACAAATTCATCAAATGATATGGAAACCACCACAAGCTTGATCCATGAGCTCAGCAATGGTGCACCAATGGCTCCTCGCTTTGCTAATTGTTTTGGAACTACTTCGATGACGCCCTCCTATTCTTCCTTGATAAAACCACTGTAACAATTCTAGAGCTAATATTAGTTCGAATTACAGAGGTTCTGCCCAAAAATCAAATCGTGGAGAGTCTCTTGTAATCTCCAACTTCGATTTTTTAGAGGTGAAGCATTTTGGACATTATCTACTTTTATTTGAATTATAGATGTGTTCTTGGGAGTGTAAGCGTTTAACTGAATTCAGATTATATAAAATCATTGAGTGTCCGCTGAAGTTAATTATAATTAACTAAACATTTATATATTATAAAAATAGAATATGACGTCACGTTTTATTTACTGTGGGCATAAAATACGCTGTTGTCAAATAAAAATGAAAATATTAAACTCTCCGAAAATATAGTACCGAGGGTTAAAAACTCAATGTCAATGCAGTGACTGAAGGGGATTTTAGTTGTCAATTAAAATAACTACACGCGTACAACTCACATACGACATACCATCCCCAAAATGGGGTACATATTTTTGATGTATTTCCGTACGTGTTAACCGTGAAGAGCAATAGCGCATTTATATCAATAGTATTATACGTATGTTTTGTTTTCGAACACCCTTACTGCACACCCTTCCGTTGAAACTTTGATAGTGTCATGTCGGAAGGGTAAGATATTACTATAGGTAGTATGCTAGAACATCATACATAAGTCATAAAATATAAACTATAAAGCATATTACTTATACCGCATATAAAATAAAGCTTTTAACGACTATACAGGGGCTGTGGACACAATGTGTAACCACCATTGCTCTTCTATTAATTTATTTGTTGAGATTTCTTTTTATCACAAATCAAAGTTTATCTGCGATGATTTTAAACAAATTTAATTTCAGTTTTTTAGGATTATCTTATACTTGTACAGCGTTGTACTTAAATAATGCATCTAATAAAATGTATAAAATAATGTTTTATTGTTATTCTACAATCAAATCTTTTCGGATATTATAAACGAGATAAATTATTTATTTTTATCTGATGTAAAATACTAAAAGGGCAGAATCTGTACGACAAAATAAATATAATTTTTAATAATATATAATTTTATATTTATAACCATTAAATTATGTATAACTAGGAAATAATGTACTGCATAAGAAATAAGGATTTACAATTTCTAACATTAAATAGGTAACAGTTACTTTTAACAAAAAAATCCATTCTTAACTTATTTAAACTCAAATAATCGTATATCATCAGCCATATTATTCCTACTAGTCCACCGAGAAGGCTGAAAAAAAAACATTAGATTACAAAAGATTGTTACTGTGTATGGTCGACTTAACCATAAACACGAATAGTAATGATATTATGTATGTATATTGTATATGTCTCAGTCAGTGCGTATAAAATATTAATTTCTCTTATAATTTCCATTGGATCTATATACCATATATATACCATATACCATATATACCACATATAGCCATACTATGGATGATACTGATACGTATAACATGCTCACCCCTATGAATTTATTAAATTTTATTTAATTAATTGCATATACATACATAGGTAAATTATAGGGACATTTTAATCAAACCTATTTTATTTATTTTTAATCTTAGTTAAAATCTTAATTTTAATCGAAATAATCTGTTGGTTTCGTTTGTTTATTATTTTTGTAAGTTGTAGTTTTTTCATGAAAGTTTAAGACTTTTCAAAAGTAGGTAAGTACCTATTTTTAATATCTTGAATAGTGAATACATCGTGTTTGAATAATTTAGATTTGTCCCATATTATAAGGCTAGAATAAGATACAATTTTAAATTTTAATATTAATGAGTAATGAAAATGATTTATTGTAATATGTATTGACATATCATATAGGTATTCGTATTATATATAACATTATATTTTGTATTCGGTGGCGTATTTAGGTTTCTGTCTGAGTGGGGGGGGGGGGTATTTTATCCAGTAAAAAAAACTATAATGACTCGATAATTTAAAAATAGAGCAGTAAGATATTGATTATATTGATTAACACGTAAGAATGTAATTTAATAATATTATAAAAATTATACCTATAAAATGAAACAAAAATAAGCGCTAAAATAAAATTCGCCAAGTGTGCTACGGAGGGTAGTTATGGTACTGCGTTCATATATAATATATGACTATTATAATATAATATTGATATCTAGAAACTAGATATAGTTAGGTCTAGTACTCTAGTGATATTTTTTGGATGACTATTTACCAAACCATCGTATTATAATATAGGTAGATAGCTTTTAAAATTGTATGATTATTGTAGCCGTATTCGGCTTTTAAGGGCCTGGTCGCGATTTTTTAAATTTTCCGCAATTCTATAAAATTTGAAAATTAAATTTTATGTTTTAGTTGCCACCTCAATTATAAGACTTTTCCACTAATCTACTACCCAATACATATTTAGGGGGGGGGTTGATAGGGTGTATTATATCGGTCAAAACACAGTTTACAGGAAAAACTCTCACACCTCGTAGATTGGTCCGATTTCCGTAATTTTTTTTTTGTTAGATAGAAGAATATTTTTTACAGGGCGCATTGGACTTTGATTTTTGATTACGTTGCTAAAAATAAATAATAATACAAAAACTAAAAAGTTGTAAAAATGGATTAAATTCAAACTTGTAATGTAAAATTTCGAAAAATAATTTTGAAAATCCAAGTCCAATGCGCCCTGCAATACGTCTTTCTCTATTTAACAAAAAAAAAATTACGCAAATCGGACCAATCTACAAGGCGTGAGAGTTTTTCCTGTAAGGCATGTTTTTGAGCAAAAAAACAGGTCGCGACCAGGCCCCTTAACGACAGTTAATTATTTGATATCCAAAGTTTATTTCGTATTCCACTATGGTATATCATATTATTTGTATGCTCAAACCGTTGACTGATTACTAATAAATTAGTAATTAGTATAGATTTTGTTTTACTTTATCTATAGTTAGTACTTTAGGTAAATTATTTACCCATTATAATTATTAATTATACGATATACCCACCTACTCAAGAAATTAAAATATACATTATACCTATTCATATTCGCGAATAGGGGGGTTTTAGGGGCTAAGCCCTCCCAAAAATGTCCATAGCCCCCCAAACATTTCCTACATTTTATTTTAAGCGTAGGTATTCAATATTATCAAAGTAAGGCTTTAGCCCCCCCAAATCCCAAAAGCTATTTGCGCATGTGTACCTATTATAATAGTTACATGTGATCTACGAGGGTTGATTTTATCAAAGGCGATGCGTCTATTTTGGGGATTGTAGATGCCAAGTCTTTGATAAAAATAACACTCATAAACCTCACGTGAACAAAATAAATATGTTCTACTTAAATCAAATAAAAAATAGGTACTACGTTATAATATATAGCTGGTCAACACAGTCGTATTATATAAAGCAAGCGTCGTGTCGATTAATTTCGCTTAAGAAAAGTGGGCGAGAAGGAGGTACCTATGGTTACATACAATATACCTCCCCGTCTTATAAAAACGTTTTCGCATTCTTATACCGTGTATCAACTTCTCCCCCCCCAGTGTACACCACTTATAATTATAGTCTATAAGGGAAGTGGTTTTTAATGTATACAGACTCATTCTACAACATAACTATATAATATAATATGAGTGGTAGAGTTGAATCGACACGGCGCGGCGGTGCTTCATGTGCGGTATAAACCATAATATTTCAAGCGACAAAAAAATAACTTAAAAAACGTGCGGGTGATGCATACCATCATTATAGCTGCTGTGTCTCGCGTGGTCCGTCCTGACGTCGGCGGTAGTGGCGTTGGGCAAGCCGCCGGGACTGCGCGTCACTGCGTCGTCAGTGGCGTAAACGTGAGGCGACAGATTTCCGTGCGGACTTCCGAGCGCGGACCTCGACCGCAACAGCGCCAAGACGGCGACGGCCCGCGACACCTGCACCGCAATCGACGAAGCCATCACTGCGATCTCGGTCAATAATATTTCTTCTCGTGTGTTCAGCAGGCGGAACCCCGAGGACCGAATATGGATCCGTAGACGGTGACGAGAACGGGACGGCGGCTAGAAAACGTGCTCGAGACCAGCTGTCGTCCAATAATTCCGATCTGTACGTGCAGTGTGTGTAGGTGCGTCGACGGTTCGTCACTTTGAAGAAAAAAGCTCAACACCACTCGTACGAAACGCGTTTATTATAATATTATTATGATTATTATCGTGGTTGTCGTTTATATACCGTGGCCACATTTTCCTCCACCTCCACCACCACCACCGACGATCGTTACTCCTTCTCCTCGTCGTCATCGCCACCGCCGTCGCATTCTCCCGCTGCCCGTTTGGTACACCGCGATGATGTGGGATGACCGTTATCGCGGCGAAAAAAAAGAATAATACAAATATTATGTCCTTTCCTGTTTGTTTTCATTAATCGCTCGGGCCAACATCACAACAACGTGTTATTTGTTGTCGTATGTCAACCTGTAATAATAATGTATGCGACATGCATAACACTATCAGCTATACGTATTATGTATATTTTAATATACACGTGTATTATGTATACAGAGTGATTCGTTTGACATTTTTCGCTTGCACCGTGTAGTCACTCGTCCTATTGTCACGTTCGATTTTTGAGTTCGTCGAAGGAACGATGTTTATGCACACTTCTGCAGTTTGAAGGATTTCAAATAAATACTATTATACACAGGGATGGACGAGATAACTACATGAAAAAAAGTACCAAAATTGTACAAACATATAGACTGGATAACGCTATGCATATAGATACCTATACTGTATATCTTAGAGTTTGTTTATTGTCCAAGACACAAGGTACCTACATTTTTGTAAACAATTATTATTTATTAAAGTAAATTAATTTGTTAGAATGTTTATACATATTACTACTATATTATACTTTTTAATATTATTAAAACCTAACTTAGGGGGAAATGGTAACCGAACCCTTTTGCTCCCTTAATCCGGGCATGCCTCTATACTTAAACGGACATTAAAGATTAAACATAAGCTTTTCTTTGTGTTTAATGGTATACAGTATACCTAGTTTTTGTAGGTATAATATTAATTTTGTCTTCATATTGTACCGACACATCACCAGACACCAATATACGTTTTTTTAAATCGTACAATATGATGGCGTGAAGTGGCAAGATCTCAACGGAATTCGTGATCCAAGTTGTACTCTTCTATAAAATCTTTGTTCTTGTAAATACAAATACTTATAATCATATGATTTAAGATAATAAGTAATAATATAATTTATAGGTACATACTATTAAGAAAATGTCTACAATAGTCAATAGATGAATTCTTTTTCTTTGAACTAGAAAATTAAAAACTTAAATAATCACCGTCATAAAAAACATATAAAACGAAATATAATAACGAAATATTCTTCTTCTTCATCAGCTCAACGGTCTATCCAGGACCAGCACTGCCATCAAAATCTCTCTCCATCTATCTCTCTGATACTATGTCTCTAAGGTTGCATTCTGGTCTATCATTACTATATGTTTGGCAACTATGTCAATCCATCGGGTTTAGGGGTCTCGTTTTATTTAGACTGTTGATTATCACATTTTTAATTAACTGCTGATCTGCTCTCCATGCATGCCCGAACCATTCTATTCGTCGATAAAAAAATTGATGTATGTATTAAGGGGACGTTACAGTGACATTTGTTGTCTCCGTCTTACAAATGTAACATAGCAAATTTTACGCTCAACAGAACACGTTTATCTCCCATTAGTTTAAAAATTAGAGCGAATTAACCTCTTATAAAATTTAAAGGTAAGATTATTATCTAGATAATGACATTCTAGGCTATTTATTATAATTTAATTTTAAAGCGAGTTATGTGTAGGTATTTTAAAATTGTAAACTGTTTGTACATATAAAAATTTTTAAACTAATGGGAGATAAACGTGTTCTGCTGAGCGTAAAATTTGCTATGTTACACACTTGTAAGACGGAGACAACAGATGTAACTGTAACGGCCCCTTAATTGATATATTGTTAACTGTATAGTATTATCTATGATTTGTGACAATCGTAAAAACCGTGGATTTTCGGCAAAAATATGAGAATCAAGTTCAATCAACCAATGGGGCATATAACGAGCGGTTGCGACTTCATACAAAAATCGCTCTGTATGCATACAATTTCGCGATTAATCGTGCCGCGGTGTTATAATAATAATATGTGTGTCGAGTGTTGGGAAACGTAACGTACATCGACCCAATTAAATTGTCAACACGCGGCCTGCGCAGTACGCCTGTACCGTTGCATAATTGACGAGCGCAAAATGAGTTTTCGATAATACGTCGTCACAATAATAATAATAATAATAATAATAATATTATCGTACTTACACACGGCGCAGGTTGACCCGGTGCAAGACCGAGGACGCGACGACGCGTGTCCCTGCACGGGTGACCTGCGTGATCGGCCCAGACTTTTTAGTGGTCGTTATCTCACCCACCGCGAGGATCACTGCTGTAGAGTAGGTCACGGATAATATTATAAATTCTAAATGTGTGTAAAATAATAATATCATATTAATATCACCATGTTTACACGGCATTCGAAGGCACCGCCGTTGTTTTAATTGAACGGCATTACGTATATTTTAATATAGCATTATGTAGGTGTTTAGTAGAAAGGTCGTATATTATTATGTGTGTATATGCATTTATTGGTTTTAAAAAAATGTCAAGTACGCGCACTCGACATACACGGAAATTCGCTTTGCATAATATAAGTCATGCTTGCACGCCACTCACACCTATAGTAGGTATACGAACAACGAGTGTTTTTTGTAAAAATAAGTGCCTTTACATACCTATATATATTTTTATATTAATATTCAGAAATTTATTCAGAACATTTGCGTCTTCGTGCCCAGGTCATTATTTTTATCCCTTAACCACTCCTTATAAATATCAATATTGATGACAATATACATTTATTTTATACATGTCATATAGGTAATTGAATCGGAAAAAACAAACACAACAAAGAAGAATAAAAATGATTAATTAAATTCCAAATAAGAGATACCAATCAACATTGCAAGAAAAATGTAATAAAAAATTATTTCTTATTTTAAGAGAATACGTTTAGATCTTAATAGACATTAAATAATACATTTATTTTACATTCTGAGATTCTTGATTTTACAATGATGTGTGTTTTTTTTGTGTCTGTAATCACCTTTTAGGACAGTACCTAACAATGTTTAGATTTTCTTTAACAAGTTTAACAGTATCTTTTCTGATAGGAAAGTGAATCTAGTTGGTACTTTGGGGGGCTCAAAAGTAAAAAATTCCTAATAGTTTCAAAAGCTTAGGGAAAAAGAAAAGAAAAATCAAGGAAAACAGGATTTTGGTTTTTGATGTAACTCTAAAACAAAAGACCGTAGATACATGACATTTTCACTGGTTGTTTATATTAGAATCTACTATAGATACACAATGAAATTTTCAAAATATTTTGACTTGCTTTGACCTGCTTATGGAACTTTTCAGTTTTTTTATCTATGAATGTCAATAACATTTTATTTGTTTGGTAAAAGAGCTTAAAAATGTAATACAATAGGCTCTTGTTACAATGAAATCTGAAAAATATTAAAAATTCAGTCACAATTTTTTTTTATAAGCATTTTAAGTTCAAATATTGACAAAATACGTAAAAATTACGAAAATTTGCTAATTTTATTACTTCGAGTTAGAAATTCATAATTTTTTTTTTTTAAAACCTAAGATTTGAAAGTGTAATACAAGATTTTGTCATAAGTTTATCTACGTCTATCAAAAAAAAATATTGAGCCAAAAAGCGTGTAAATTTAATACAAGACTCCTGATATACTGTTATAATAGCAGTTAAAAAATATTAAAAATACATAGGCACAATTTTTTTTTATAAGCAATTAAAGTTCAAAATTTATCAAATTTAAAATTTAAAATTTATTTTGTAGTTAAAAATAAATTTATAATATGTTCATCTTTTATAGCTAACCTGTGCAAGAAACTGTAGCCAAACAAACATTCCAGAAACATCCAATTTTAAGTACCAATATCCAATTTTCAGTGACGTATATAAGGGGTGGGCATAGTGGGCTGCAGCACCCCCCGAAATTACAGTCTTTTTAAATAGAACAAAAATATATTTTATTAGGTACTATTATAATTTATAAGTTATAATATTTCACAGCCTGTTGAAAAATAACAAATACGAATATATTTATTGAAACTGTTAAATATATAGGTAGTAGACAGTAGCCTCTAAGTAATAGATCACTTGCTAGACGCTAGTTTCTATTTACTATAGCCCATCCTGATAATTATTTCTGTATATAACTAAACCACTGCCTATGTTAACATAACAATTTAACGTTCCCTGAAAGCTTAAGTAATGTTCCAAAAAAATATTAGTAATAATAATAAAATTAAAATTAAATAAAATTGTATTTGTTGGGTAAAAAGCTTGAAAATTGAAGGCGTAAAAAGGTTATAATAAATATAAATTACTTTATTATATACAGAATTATAGGATGTATCAGCCACTGTCTTCGCGGTCATTAAAAATGTTTATATAATATCTTATATTTTATTAAAAAAAATAATTTCATAATATTGTATTATTAAATTATATTAGTCAATAATAAACTTTAAAAAAAATGGAGGGAGAAATATCCGGTGGTATATCATTGAATTCAAATTTAACACCATCCATTACAGTGACCCACTTGTACAGCAGAGCATATAGGCGCAATTTGAAGATTTTACTTGGGGGGGGGCTGGACAAATGTATATGAAATAGAATCGTGGGGGGCTTCGCATCCCACACCCTCCTTCAGCATATCTATTGAAGTATTACTTAATTTTTGTATTATGATTTATGTTTCGTGAGTTGACACACTACGATTATTAGTAATTTGTTAAGTTTAGATACTCCTTTTAAAATAAAAGATACAGGAGTTCTCACTCCATACACCCATCCAGAAACACAATAAAATACACTTTCAAATATCTTAAACAATTAAAACAAAAAAAATTAATACATTTGGATATTAATATTGAATTTTATTATTAAAAAGAGAATCTACGATCTTTTTTAGGAAATTTGTCTAAAATATTTTCTGTACTGATTGTATTTGAATATATCTCTTTATATGTGTATAGTGTATTAAAGAGAGATTTGTAAATCTCTCTTGGTGCATAGAAGTTCTACGCAATGTTTTAATTCTTGTCATTGCTGAGAACGACCGTTCACACGTAGCCGAACTTACAGGAATGAAGAATGCTACTTGTAATAGTGAGTACAAATTGGGATAGACAGATTTATCTAATAATAGTTTCTTCAAATCTTCCAACTCAACATCTTAATGTTTATTTAAACGAAAAATACAGTTCTTTGCTACTAACATTTCCGATTTAAGCGTTACAACATCAACATTACATAGCTTCTACAAAAAGTAAAATAAAACAATTTTTTTTTTCATAATATACTAGGTATTTTAGTACCTATATTATTTAAATATTCTAATTGTTACCTTGTAGTCGTCTATGAAAAATGAACTTTCATCAAAGTTTAGTTTTGTGAAACTATCAATAGCCATTGCCATTTGTAGGCTTTCTAATTTATAAAAATTATATATAACCGTGAATGTAACCGCGATATCAGAGCGTCAGCCATCGTTTAGATTTTAACACAGATATATAAACATACATAAGTCTGTGGATTTTAATGAAAATTCTTATCAATTTTAAAAATGTTATACATTAATCTGTGACACTATATTTTAAACAATTATTAATATTTATTATGTCAATCAACAATGATTTTATTTGTAACTAATTTCGTGTCACCACTCACCATATGGGGGGGCTAAAGAAGTATTTTTTTTTGGGGGGGGGCTTAGCCCCCCAATTGCGCTTATGCAGCAGAGGCTCTTATGCATTGGCACAACTAGGGGGGATGCACATGGGACTTGTTCACTCCCACGTTTAAAATGTTCACCTCAAAATATAAAGGACTTAATCTATTATATTTTAATTATTTTGAAGTAAAAATTATCAATCAACACAAAAATGTTGCACCATAGCGTATATATTGAAGAATATAATAGGTGGGTACTTCGCTATTATGTTCCAATTTTCCCAGCTATAACAGTATAACATAATATTATAAAATAATTTTTAGCTTATTTAATATTGTATAGAACAATTAACAAAAGAACATATCTCAGGTGGTAAACGGTCACTTTGTACAGTCCATTGTTCAAAATGTACAACGCGGACACTTTGTACTATTATATACATAAAGTATATATATTATAAATATAAGTTATATACCTAGGTTAGCAAGTAAATAATACTATATATTATATATGACAAATTTTAATAAAAATGTTATAAATACATTTTATATAATCTGGGGAATCTCATGGGTACATTGATAATGGTGCATTTTGCAATGTTATAAATGCATTTCACTAAGACACTTAGACACTGTCATATTATACATGTAGGTTTTAAAGATTTTTTTAAATATTAAAGAATGGAAATTTGATATTTTATAGATCGTTCATTTTGACGAATTATTCTAAAATTGATTTATTAAACCCTTAATATTAAATAATTATGTATGTGCACTTTTTATCTAAGCTTGATACCATTTTGCCATATTTTAATATTATTATACTATACAATGTTATGTAGTTTTTTAAAATTTTTGTCAATATTATACTTTACTTGTCATTTTGAGATATTTCCATATTATAGGTACTATGCATGTAGTTTTTAATGATTTTTTTCATTATTATATTTTATTTGTCATTATGACATATTTATATTGTACACATTTTTAATTTGCTTTAAAACTGATATCTAATATTATAATACAATTAAGATTTATAATAATATTATTGATTGTTTGATTATTAAATTATTTTGATCATTATTAATATTATAATATTATTATATACTTACTACTTAGGTATATAACTTATATTTATAATATAGGTATATACTTTATGTATATAATAGTACAAAGTGTCCGCGTTCTGCAATGTACCTTTTTACCCGACCGTACAAAGTGTCCGCGTTTCGCACTTTTAATGCTCGACCGTACAAAGTGACCTAGAACCATCTCAGGTATATCGTTATTACTTATTACTTATTTGAGTAGCAACTAGCAATAATCATACCTAATAATATTTATAAATCAACAAAATAACTTTGAACACAGGATAAAGGACATTTATCTTTATATTTGGCAGGATAAAAGAATGCCCATGAATGTGAGAGGGTTAACATTGTTTCTTCGTATATAATTTGATATAAGTTATAAAACAAGTGAGAGCGCGTAAATAGAAGAAAATATGTCATTTGTGCTACTTGTATAATATAAAAAAAAAATATTTAAATTTTTTAATACTGAAAATAAAAAAAATTAATTTAATATCGACTATTTAAAATTAAATTAAACATTTTTTTTAGAAAAATTCAAAATAACCAATTTGTAAATCTGATTATGAGAACAAAAATGTTATGTAAGGGGCAAAAACATTTACTAAGTCAATTAGTTTATTTTACTTCTTTAAAAATATTTTTTTCACAATTTTTGTCACACGTTTAAGTAGTGCCATTTTCGTTGACAGATCTTCCTGTTACACCCTGTATATACAGTGTTAATGGTCTGGGGGTCTAGGAATTATTTACAATTTGTGCACCCCCAAAAATATAGGTCTAGTTGCGCCTATGCTCTTTCCACTTGCCCACCTTTTTTATTAGTGTATATAATATTATCTTAGTCCGTGTGGTCACAACTCACAACCACAGATATAAAATACTGTGCTCACTTTATATCTGTGCTCACAACTAAAATTCACCTTATCTAAAATTGATAACAACAAGGCACATGTCTCCAATATTATGATAATATTATTAATCTTACGATTTTTTAGTTGATTAGTTTATTAGTTTATAGATCCATAAAGACTAGAATAGCAGAAAAGATTAACAGATTTTGTGGTACCATCTTAAATCGTGATTTTTACAGTCTACATAGTAATTTATTAGAATATTAGAATTTTATAATAGTATAACTTATAGAGTGAGGTGTGAGGACAAGACGTGTTCTATTGGAAGGTTTAAAATATTTTTTATTATAGGTAGATCTTGGTCCTTGGTGTACCTATAGCTTAATACATAATGCGTCTCAAGCGCCATCAAAAAGCCGAACGCAATATCAACTTCTATTGTGTCAGCTTTGGCTTTCGAAAACCCTTTCAAATACTAGTTGATGGCACGTTTTGCATGGCTTCAGCACAAGTAACTATAACTGAATTATTATATCATAGATACCTCTCTGCAGGTTGCTGTGGTACTGCTAAAATGTTATTTGCTAAAATATAAATTTACAGAACAGAGTGCAATTACGCGAAGATATTCCCAAGTATTTGGGTGGCGATGTAAAATTTTTAACCACTCAGTGTGTTGTTCTTGAGACTGAAGCCTTGGGTAAGAATATAATACACTTTAGTTTAATGTTTGTAATATAAAATAATTCTATCTTACAGGTACCGCTGTTCGGCCGGCTATGCACATTGTAAAGAATTTTGGTATACATAAATGTGGACATGAAAAGAAACCCATATCCGGAGCTAGTTGCCTAACGTCAATGACACAAGATAATATGAAAACGAGGTAATAAATAGAAATTTACAGGACTTGAACTAAATCATATTATTTTATGCACTGCAATATAATTTAATATATCTTGAAATATGTGCTGTAATAGATATGCCCTTTAAGGTTTTAAATATAAGAAGTAGCAACCAAATGTTTTATTTTTTTTATGCTAATTATTATTTATCAGGAATTATCTAAAAAAAAAAAATAACGGAGAACTACTGTTGGGCTATTAAACAGCATAATAGTATTTTGGAAATATTGGCAAATTTGTTATCAATCAATTTTTTTTTGTCTTAAACTTATTAAACTTCAATTTAAAAATATCCTAAAATTAATTTTATTTTAAATACAAAAATCCATATTATCAAATATAGCACGACGATTGGGAAAATACCCTTAAAAATGCTGAAAATATGCAATATACAACTTTATATTTGGAATCCTTAAAGCATAAAAAAAATGTATAGTTAACTCTGATATTATTGTTTTATACTAAATTTATAGTAATAATGTAATATTAGCAAATTGTAAGGAATCCAAGCCCTGATAATCAAATATGTTTAATTGGTACCCTTACATTATTGTCAATTTTGGTGATTAAAGTACCTAAGAAATGTAAAATATAATGGATGTTATTAAATATTTACTTTGTCTTAATATTCATTTTTTAATATACTATTTTTTTTATAGTAAAACAAAATAATATATTTATGATAATATAATATATTATGATTTTGTTAATTTGAAAATTATTGTTATAAGACTTATTATAACTCACTATTTTTCTTTGTTTTACTATACTTATTATTAGTAATTTAAATTATGGAAAAAAAAAAAATCGCCAAAATGTACTCTAATATTGTTAATAAACATACATTTCTTAAAATCCATTCAACATTATTTTTTTTTAATCAGGTTATATTATAAAGTTAAATAATGAAAACATGAAGATAACGTAGAGTAAACAATATGTATATCATTTTTTTTTCTTTGCTTTTGATAACTGTCCAGGTTTACAGTATACAAAACATTTATTTTCAATATTTTTGCTTGTCAAAATGACATTTTTATCTTAGGTATATAAAAATAAAAATTGTATTTACTAAAAGTGTATAAAAAAATTCAAAGTATATGCACCAAATGAATAAAATATAATATAGTTTATGACATGATATCAGTTTGATATGAGATGTTTTTAAACTTCTATTATTGTAAATACATATAATAAATTTATATAATTCTGGTCTCTATTTATCATAAATATATTAAATTGTATAATTATGTATTATGTATTTGTATTGTACTAGTTTATTAAAAATCTATTGTTTCACCAATTTATATACACTTATTAACATTTTTTATATAAAAAATATTTATTTTTGGTTACTTTTTTAATACTGCAAGTTATAAATGTACTTGGGGCTGCCCCAACAATGTACTCCGGACTACAGCACTAGCGTTGGTTTATAGCGTAGCCGAATACTGTGCACATGTGTGGGCTAGAAGCGCTCATTGCGCTAAAATTGACGTGCAACTAAACCATACCATGCGTATCATATTATCAGGTACAGTCAGGTCCACTCAGACAATATGGTTACCCACCCTTTCGAATATAGCCCCCCCAGACTTAAGGAGACTATCACACACCACAAAGATATTACATAAGCTAAAAAGCCTGCTACCAGTTTTGCCACTACAAACTGACATCCTCGAACATCCGCCATTACGCCTTAAGTCTAGAGCTCCCATATGGCATGCAGAAACTCAAAGCGAATCAGTTGAGTACCTATGGATGAGACGCTGGGAACAGTCAGAACCCCGTAATAAAGACCTGATCAAAGAACCATTTAAAAAAGTCCCTGGCTGGGATGGCACAAGGGCTATATGGACAACGCTTAATCGAATAAGAACGGAACAAGGAAGATGCAACTACCTACTTCACAAATGGGGAATGGTAGACTCTCCACTTTGCGAATGTAGAGAAACGCAGACAATCAAACATATGGTTGATTATGGCCCATTACAATGTTCAAAAAAGGATTAACAAAACTACACGAGGGTGGACCAACAGCTATAAAATGGCTTGAAGAACTAAATACTCGTCTGTGATTTTTATTGCTATTAGTATTGATGTTATTATAATTTACTATACCTACTATAACCTACCATACTAACATTTTATATATTTTATTACTTGTTTTTGAATAGTTGACTAGTTATCTTAATTATCATATTTATTTATTTGTTTTAATTTTACTAACTTTATCTATAAAATTTCTCACGTTATCTAAAGTCGAATATGTCGTATGCAAATAATAATAATAATAAATGTACTATGAATTATTTAATAATGTAATGACAAAATACAATTGTTTACAGATATATTATTGCTACTCAAGACAAGTCACTTCAAAATGCCCTTTATGTTCTTCCCGCTGTCCCTGTTATGTATTTTAATGGTTTAAGTGTCATTTTGAAAGCACCTTCACCAACCTCTATTGATCATGCCAAACAAAAGCGACAATCTAGGTATGATGGTGCATACCAAAATATATTTATGTAACTTTGTTTTAATGATTTTTGTTTTATTTTTAGATTTAATTTAACTGAACATGAGAATAATGTTTTAACAAGTATGAAAAGTTCAATAACAACAGAGTTAGTCAGTAGTGAAGAATTTAAAGATTACCCTGGGGTATTTAAAAGAGCTAAAGGACCAAATCCACTTTCGTGCAAACCTAAAAAGAAGAAAATTGTTGAAGATAATGATATACCCAAAGTGGAAAATAAAACAAAACGTAAAAGAAATAGAGTTAAAATACCAAAACATGTAAAAGAAGAATTAAAAAAAATGAATAAGCCAATTTCAATCTCATAGGAACATCTCATAAAAATGCTATTTCAATAAATAGTTGTACAGTGTAAACATTACATTTTAATTTTTATGAATTGAAAATTTTTAATATTAACTTTTACTTATCAATTTATTATTTTATAATTGTATTGATGATTTGATAATTTTTTTTTAAATTATTAATAAATAATATATACTTGCTAAATTGTATCATACTGAATAATAACGCTGAGTTGTATTCAACAGTTAATACATTATAATTTAAAGTTTAAATCAAATATGTGGGGTTATATTATGTTGACAGAGGCAGAATATCTTCCTCTAGATTAAATGAGAATATAGAGCATACTGCTTAAGCCATCTAAAATGTTCTAATAGTTTATATGAATCATGTACTAAAATATTAGCCACAACATTTTACTTCAACATCGTGATCATAAGAAATAAGTTGTTGATCTTGCTAAAATATATTATATACTCAGTTGGTCATCCATTATAATTTAGGTACAAGGTATTCATTTTACGAAAACGTAAAATATGATCAATATTGTTACCTCCTGTCATAAATCACATAAATATTTAAAATAGTCAAAATACAATATAATACAGAGTGATTCATCAAGCATGATCACACCCATTTCCCCTTAAATAATGAATTTTTTTTAAAGTATTCCTGTGACAATCCTGCTCCCAGGGTAGGGTGTTCTAAGTTCTAACGAGTGAGTGACGAATGACGGTTCTCTCAAAAACAAAAGTACCTCTGAGTATCGTAAAGATGGACGATTTTCAAGAAGAAAAATTCTATACGTATCGATATGGAATAGTTACGTACCGGAGAGTCCGATAAGTATCGCTTGTATATTGCACGGATGTAACTTCTTGAACGCTCTTGAACTCAAATTTCTTCCTTGAAAATCTTGATAGTCAGAGATAGTTCCTTAACAGAGCTAACAATCGATCTAAGCCAGCATCTAGTCTATAATCATTAATCACAATGTAGAGAAGAGTAGAAGATATCTTCTTTACATAGAACATCGCGTCCATATCCATAATACTCTGAAACTCAATTATTTTAGACCATGCCCCGTGGAACAGGTTATAACATAAAAAAACAAAGTTTGAATTTCGAATTTACCGCGCGAATTATGATAACAGCGATATGCTTTTGTGTTTTACATTCCATGATATTTTTGAGGTTACATATGCTTACATGGAACAAAACAAGATACTACCACAGTACCGCACTACCACTACACCTCCACATCATGATGGCGAATTGTTCGGTAACGTCCCGTTCTTTCGCGTCGTGACTATCTCATAAACAACTACAGCTCTGCCGAATTCATCATGGTCCTCGCCGACTTAAAGGTGAGTGAATATTTTTCATTCGATTCGAATATCATATTCTGTATTCGATCGACTAAACGGCTTAAACGAAATTAGGGGGGGATGGGGGGCTAAGCCCCCCCCAAAACTTTTATCAGGCCCCTGAAAATAAATTGTTCATTTGTTTCCTAAAATATTAATAAATCTTTAAAAATTAAACTGTATCTCTTACTTTTTTTTTTTGGGGTAAAAATTGAGTTATCTAATTTTTATTTAAACTAGGTACAATTATTTTATATTGCTTATGATAAATATGGTAGCTATATGCCTGTATTTGTTTTAAGGAAACAATTTATGTCGCCATGTCGGTATACTGGCAAGATTATTACCCTTAATTTTAATGAATATTCACTAAACTAAAGTTTTGACTATAGGGAAAGTGAATTGCGGAAAAATATCCCCGATCCTAGGAGAAATAACCCCCAGCCTCCAATGATAAACTAGGTAGGTACATGAAATTGATTGATCAGTTATTTTTTAAAATAAATGTAATTATCACATTATTAATATTTAATTACAATTATATTATACTTACAAGTAGTATAGTATACCTACTTTTCATTAAAAAAATTAAAATATAAATAATTTTCAAAAATTAATAATAATATTATTTTGTTTTATATTACGATTTTAAGCAACATATTATGTTAATAGTCTTTTTAAAAGATTAGGAACCTACTACCTACATTCATCGATTATTTATTTGACAATTATTTGGATTATTTGACCTATAAATCATTTGAAATATTTTTTTTTTAAATTTTTTGAATTTTTTTTGGGGTTGAGGCTTCAACTACTTAGGATATCAGCCTGTGGAACTGTACGGGATGGATCACGTGTATGTTTGGCCGATTTTTAAGTGGGCACCCGTAGATATAATAATTATTATTAATATTTACATTTTGCTTGTCGTCAAAATATTATTAGGAAATGTAATATTTTATTTTGGGAATATAATATAAAAAAAAAAAATTATTATTGTTATAATGTCTGAAAATAATAATATAAATATTAAGAAATAAGTTAAATTGTATTCAATATATTTACTTACCTACCTATATATTTAAACTTGGAACATAGATTGGTTTTTTTAATTTAATTTTTCTTTATTTTTTAATTTTTTCAATGATATATAATATGTATAGTGTAGGTATACCTATACTTTAAAACATAAGTATATATTTGTCATTAAATATTAATAATGTGATATTTACATTACCTAATTGTAACGTTTAAAAAAATTTGCTCAATCGTTTTTGTGTGTTTGTGAGTACCTAATATAAACTAATATTGTAGTCTGGGGATTTTTATTTTGATTATCACAGATATAGGATACTATTATTATTCACCGTCGTCAGACTGACTTCATTGCAAATGTATACCAACAGGTCCTTCAATTTTCACTATTGCACCTGGCCAGTATTCGAATGAATGCTCAGCTCAGCAGCCACAAATTGGTTCTGGGGCTCTGAACAACCGGTGCCACATCACCTACATTCTTATATTGCAATATACCCTCACGCGTTACTGAGGCGTAATACTCATTAAGAATACATAATTCCAAAATATAGAGGAAAAAAATTGTCGATATATAATATTATAGATATAGTATACTATTATTGTGAATTTGTGAGTTACTTTTCATGTAATATCAGGTGGGTGCTACAGCCCCACATTTTAGCCCTAGTTGTGCCACTGCTGAACTGCAGGATGCTCGCTATCTGACGACCGTTCACTGTTGGCCGACTGACTTCATTGAAAATGTATACCGACAGGTCCTTCAATTTTTACTACCGCACCGGGCCAGTATTCGAATGAATGCTCAGCTCAGCAGCCACAAATTGGTTCTGGGGCTCTGAACAACCGGTGCCACATCACCTACATTCTTATATTGCAATATACCCTCACGCGTTACTGAGGCGTAATACTCATTAAGAATACATAATTCCAAAATATAGAGAAAAACAAATTGTTGTTTTCCCCCAACTCCAAGATATAATGATTGTGTTTTGTTTTGCAGAAAGGAGGCAACAAGTCTTCGGAGAAAACGAAAAATCGTATGCGCGAATTGAGGATTCGCAAATTATGTTTGAACATTTGTGTCGGCGAATCTGGTGACAAGCTCACCCGTGCCGCTAAGGTGCGTTATCTTTACTTATATTGTTATTTTATCTATTTCACAAGACGACTAATGTGTGTGTTGTTGTCTTTCAGGTGTTGGAACAATTGACTGGCCAACAACCAGTGTTCTCTAAAGCTCGTTATACGGTCAGATCTTTCAGTATCAGAAGAAATGAAAAAATTGCAGTGCACTGCACAGTTCGAGGTGCTAAGGCTGAAGAAATCTTGGAACGTGGATTAAAGGTTTGTCCGACTTTCAATGTAATTTTTTGTTAACTAATTTAACTGAATTATATGTTGAATAGGTTCGTGAATACGAATTGAGGCGAGAAAACTTCTCAGACACCGGTAACTTTGGTTTTGGTATTCAAGAACACATCGATTTGGGTATCAAGTACGATCCCAGTATTGGTATCTATGGTTTAGATTTCTTCGTTGTCTTAGGACGTCAAGGTACGCTTGTTTTATTAAATTCAAATAATTGATAAACTTGTGTATCTACCTATTCTACCTGTTTTTCATAAATTCAATTACAAAAAAATTATTACAAAATATCTACTTAAATATTTTATATATTTTTTGTTTTTCTTATAGTAAAATTAAATAGGCTTATAATGTTAATACTGTGTCTCTTTTTTCCCACACTTTGAGTAATATTGGGTTTTCTATTATATCAGGTTTACATACTTGCTTTTTGATAAATGTATTCTTAATTTTAATTTCCTTTTTGATAATGGTGCAAAGTACCTACCTAGCAATGAAAAGTTTTTGGAAAAATAATAATTTCCTTTGATTTTCATTCCTTCTTGCCCTTTAATTTGTTGTATGTAGATAATTTTATGTAAAAAATAAAAAAATACCAGTTTAAATAAGGAGCTGTTTATTATTTTGCAATTTAATAAACTATAAATATTAAAAATTACTATAATAAAATAAATTGTAAATTATATTTTATTCTGTTCAAATTAAGAACTGTAGTCTGCGACTACCAGTTTTCGTAGGGCAACCCCTAAATGTTGTTCCCATGGGTTTCCCATCAAGTCAGCTATCTGTATACTTCATGTAGTATCGGTTTACCTGGACACAAGTCAGTAGGCTACTACGTTTCTAAACTTGAAATGAGTATATTATCATAGACAACTTGTGTTAATTTACATTAACTCCTGTAGGATTATTATAAAATTATAACACAAGTCTTTGTGTATTTTTCTTTTAAAGTATCTAATAAACACTTTCTACAGTCTTGGCAAAAGTTAGTTATATAATTAACATATCACTCGCCGCAACGAAAAAGGTCGTTTCTCTGTCATCACAAATTTTTTTTTTTCAAGTTATAACTATTTTTGTGTAGTTCCCTCGAAACTGGTATAGTAGCATAAAACAATCAAAGACGTTCTATACAATAAAATGCAGTTATTACCGTCTTCTCGGGAACAACACAAAAAAAGTTATGACAACTTGGAAATCAAAAAAAAAAATGTGTGAAAACATAAAATATGACCTTCTTCACTGCGGCGGGCGATATTAAGCTCCCAGTGGGTCATATAAGTTAGACTGAATGAACCTATTTTGTGGTGAAAAAATCATTATCTGTTCAAAATTTGAATAAATGAAAGGATAAAAAAGGTTAACATGCTAGGTGAATCAAAAAGTAAACATATTTTTGTGAAATTAAATAATATCCTTTATTTTTAAATTGTTTATTAGGTTTCAACGTAGCTCACAGAAGAAGGAAGCAAGGCAAAGTTGGTTACCAACATAGACTTAACAAAGAAGACGCAATGAAGTGGTTCCAAACTAAAGTAAATGTCTTTTTACTGTTATTTATTTTGTTACTAAAGTTTAACTAATAATATTTTATTTTATTTTTAGTATGACGGAATCATTTTGGCAGGGAAGAAACACTAATATTAATTGTATCGTTTATCAATGCAAATCAAAAAATATACATATTATATGTTTTTCCAAACAAACAAGTCTTGTTTTATTTTGCATCAAAACTTTCACCTACAATTATTTTTCCTTTCAAATAACAAACATTATTTCTTTGAATAATTATTCAATAATACATTTAATAGTTTAGATTCTGAGCGAAGCGAGAAAGCTATTGGTTTTACAATGGTGTTAATTTTTTTTTTTATATCTTGCATACAAAATTTCTATCAGAAGGAGTGCTTCGATTTCAACATATTATTATTATAGTACCTTATCTTTTAGCAAATTGGATCAAGATGGTACTTTAAAGAGGTCATTTTTCGATTTTCTCAATAGTTATATAATGCCACGGGAAAAGTCACCGAAAAATTACGAAAAACCGCTAAAATGAGAATTTAATTTATAACACTGTTTATCACCATAAAAACGAATAAAAAATAATATTATTATAAAGTTTAATATTAATTCAACTTACATGATATAATAAATATTAAGAATATAAAATATCCAGACTTAGAACCGTCTCCGCTCAGAATCGTTATGTTTAGTAAAATATAATAAAAAGCCCATGAGATTGTCTAGATAATAATCTTATCTTTAAATTTCATAAGAGGTCATTTTACTCTAATTTTTAAACTAGACAGAGGAGCTACACGTGTTCTGCTGAGTGTTCAATTTGCTATGTTACGCACGTCTAATACAACGAATGCGAGCGAGGCGTCCTCTATCTGCTTGGGCTATTGTTTTTCGTCCTGAACGGGCCCGAAACTTAAAATACAAATTTTTACCCTAAAGGCCCGTTTGTAATTTTAGATTCTGAGCGGAGTATGCGAAAATTCCATCTCACTTAAAAAATAAAACATCGTAAAAAACCAACGAGAGATCACAGATAATGTTGTTACCTAAAATTTTGATAATAGGTAATTTTTCACTCTAATATCAAAACTGACAGCACTTTGAAAATGTGTCTTATGTCGTTCGTACGTGTTTAAGGAGACGGAGACAACGGTGCGACGTCCTCTTAATCATAATAATATCATCAAATATACCTACTTAGTACGGGCATGACAACCATCTTCGTTCAGAATAGATTTTTGTATACAATAATTTTATTTCATTGAATTCAAATTTAACACCATCTACTTACAGTGACCCACTTGTAACCTACTGTACAGCACAGTGACACCCATTTACCGGCTTTTTTATTTTAAGCCCTTAACCGCCTGGTCCATAATTTCTTTTTAATTCTCGATTTCCGTCGGCAATAACAGTTTCCCGGGGAAAAAACATAGTTTTGATATTATACTTGTACTACATACTATTTTTGTTAAAATGTACATGTAAAATTTACAATATAAGGCCAGGTCCACAGCCAAGTGCAACGATCCAACCAAAAATATTTGTTTTATGGTCCGGCCCAGATCTCTAATTGTTAGCAATATAATATCAAATATTATTGTGTAAGTCAAATATATAAAATTATGAAATATTGCCTAAATTCGAATCATTATTCGCTTTGAACAGTCACTTATAATACCTTATTAACTTTTTATTCAGTTAAATTTGATAATTTTGATTAAAATCACATACTTAAAATTTAGATTGTACCAATCGGATCCAGCATTACAGTTACTGTTATAGCTAGTACCGTACTGGTCAAACAACCCATGCCATGACCCAGCTCAGTCGTTTATTTCAACCCTAATTTCTTTAATCTAATGTTGGTTATTGGTGAAACAATTAAGAGTATTTAATGTATTGTTGGAGCAATAAAAATTAAAAAATAATCCTTGTTAACAATATATATGTATTTTTATTATACATCTGTTTAAAAGAAAATATATACTTGTAAAAACTATTTATATTTGAATTAATTTTCACTAAACAAGTTATATTATAAACTGAAGTAACTAACTCATTAATTATTAGTAAACATCAATTACTTCTCATTAATATACAAATTAAGAAACAATTTTTACAATCACACCGACAACTTATTGGCTGTCTAATTATACTAAAATATAACAATATGGTAATATATTGTTAACCATATCAAAGTTTTAAACAGTTATAAAATAGTAAAATACTAAAAGTAGATGTTTTTAATTAAACAATAAATTGTTTAGTTTTCTAATGCCTATAGGTATTATTTATATCATTATTATTATCTATCATTTATTACATTTTATTCATGTCACATTTGAAATTATATTGAATCAGATGAATTTCAATCACTATATAAATCAAGAAAAATAGCACAAGAGGTACATGAAATTAGTACCTTAAAAACAAGTCACACTAAATCACATTTCAATATTGTTAATAAAAGAATATAGGTAAAACACCTTAATAACCAAATTTCCTTATTTTTGGATAAATTATGTTGTTCAATAGAATGAATAATATTATGTATTAAAAAATATCTTGAAAAACATTAGTGCATGTTTGTAATGAATGTAACAAATTTACAATAATAGTGAATATAAAAAAGAAAAAAATATATTTTATTAATGATGCCCTTTTTGATACCATAATATATAAAAATAAAAATTGTGTTAACACGAGTCATAAAATATGCCAATAATAAATTTAAACGTTCAATTAGTAGTTTAATTTACTGAAATAGTTTTGAACAGCTAATTAATAATGTAAAATGTTGATGTCTGGGTCAAAATAGTTTATATAATATTTATATATATTTTATCTTAATTTAGGTTCTGTCATGAAAATGTCCAGAAATAACATATTCAAAGTATTACAACAAAGTCAAAAAAATGTTTCTTTTATATAATAGGCGATTTGAAACCTTTAAATTTCAACTTGATCAACAAATTTATTTCTTATTTGTTTTTTTATTCAATTGACAATTAAAAAAAAAAAAAAAAATAAATATATTCTTACCTAAAAATGGAAACTGAACTATACAAAAATAAAATTAAAATGAGAAATTTCAATCCATTTAGTCTTCATACAGTGGTGTATTATCACCCATAGAAGATTCAATCATTGATCTAGGGCTATTAATGGTATGGGGAGTTGACCGACCAGACCGCGGAGTCCATCTTGATCCAGGTGATGCATATCTGTCTGGATCGTTGTCATCATTGCGTACTGAACGGGACGATGAAGCATATATTCCAGGCGAATCTTGCCCAGGGTCCATTGTAAATGGATCATATGGTGTACCGGAATTAGACGATGGGCCTCGCGGTGACTTTGATGAATTGTGTGAAGATGTTGTATAACTACTTTTGTAGGTCTTTGTCGGTGCTGGTGAATTATATCCGTATGATGAGGCACTTGGGGTAGGTGATGGTGCATCACTGCGTGGTGTACTTGTTTCTCTCTCTCGGTTCACATTATATCGATGATTGTTGTACCTAAAATATTAAAACCAATTACATTATAACAATAATTAAGGGGCCGTCCGTTACAGTTACATTTGTTTTTTCTGTCTTACAAGTGCGTAACATAGCAAATTTAGCTTAGAAATTCTATAATTAATAGTCCTCCTCCTTACTCGATAGTCGTTAGTTTTTTTGGTTTGATATAAGACTACAAAGTTTAATTTGACATTTAATTCAAAAGTTTAGTTTGGGTTCAGTTCAATAATGAAATAAAATATATATGGTACAGGTGTGATTTTATGTTGAACAATATTCCGTTCAAGTATGATTAAAAAATTCAGTTTGAGTTTGACATCACACTGAATTGTTCGGTTTGACATACAATTAAAAAGTTCCGTCCGAGAACATATTTTGGAGTTCAACCCACCTCTAATGATATTAAAAGCACAAAAAAAGATAAAATATAAAATCATTTTATTTAGAATTACTTAAATTGAATTATGAATTTTTTTTTTGGTTAGCAATTGTTGAACAGTTTTATGATTTATAATTTGTGACTCAATATTGTGTTAACAGCTTACCTGCTACGAGATGCATGTCGCCCGCCTCCATCAGACATGGGTGTAGAATATCCTCCATCACCTCGTTGTTTAGCTTTAGCCCATTCTTCAGCCATTCGACGCCAATCATTTGGATCTGCTGATTGTACAGGTGGTTTAGAGGGAGATGGTTTTGGACTGCTTTGAACAATTGGCGTGAGGGAGCTTGGATGAAGAAATACACCATCATGAACTGGTGCCTGAGAAGCACCATAACGAGGAGTAGCATAATTGCCAATGTAAGGAGTCTGTCCTGATGGTGTGTACGGCTGAATAATGATAATAAAAAAAAGTTAATATATATTTTAAACTGCTATAGTTAGGTTGACCATTAACTTACAGTGTTATAAGCAGATGGCTGCATGTTGTTGTATGATGCATGTGGGGATTGCGAATATTGAGGTGTAGCCGAGTGGCTACTATGACTACGATTCATTGGCGAAGGTTCTAAAATATAAAAAAAAAAACAAACAAATAAATAATCATTAATGATTAATGCTACTATACAGTATACACATACCTGTATGCGGAGAAGGTCCATAATTTTGACCTGCAGATCTAGACGATACTGGTGTTACATGAGGTGTAGCATCTCGGAAATGTTCTTTATACCATCGGAATAAAGAGCCAATAGAATCAAAATTTTGGCTTCGGAAACGATAACCTTCTGGTGTAACAGTTATGTACTCATGTTTCGACCTACGAGTAGGTAAACAAGATAGAAGGAATTTACCTGCATATTTCTGAAAAAAATATAGTAAAAATACATAAATGGCTTTCTACTACATAATGTTTTAAATTAATTAGAATAGGTTAACTTGTTTATTTTAAACAAAATTACAAATATCAAATGGCTACATTTCCCACTATTAAATTTATTAATGTACTTTCATATTTATTGTCTGAGCGACTGGCTTAGTTCTCAATTGTCTATTTTAATGTAAAAAAAATGTATATTAAAATCACTTTTCGAGTATTAAAATTACTTCGTTTAGTAGAAACAGTAGTACTCAAAATAATTTTGAGC